TATATATATATATATATATATATAAGATTGATTGACGGTCAGAGACTGCTGATCTATGTATGCATGTATGTATGTATGTATGCATATGTATGTATTTACTTATATGTGTATGCTGAAATAATTCACTAATTAATTGTAAATATACGGACATGCTCCGCTTATGAGTGAGAAACGAAGTAATTACAAAGTTGATGTACAACAATATTTCAACAATAATAGTTGTAACGGACCGTGAAGGCCGTAGTTGATTGCTATGAAGAGAGTAGTTCGCTGTGAATTTTGTAGACGGTGGCCAGAGAATTAGTTTATCATAGAGGTCATAGTTAAAAGTCAAGATCGTAGTTGGTTGTGTGGGTTATATATGGTTGTTTCAAGAGAGTCGATTGATTATAGAGGTCGTAGTAAAGTTTCAATAACATTCGTAAACAGAGGCTGGAGTTGGGAGTTGAGTGTGTTGTGATAATGTTCGTAGGCTATAGAGACTGATGTTGGGAGTCGCATGAGCTGTGATAACTTTTGTAAGCCCAAAGGTCGGAGTTAGGAGAGTTCACGAGGGACTTCACTACAACTGGCAACCAATGGTAGTCAACGGTATAGGGCGACCGACAATAGTAGGCGGTGGTTGGAGGCTGTTGCAACGGAAGGAATTTGTCGGAGAAATGATGTTGAATATCAGCTCATTCTTCTCCAAGTGTTGTTCTTCTTCTGGCTTCAGGTTTAGATTCCTTCACAAGCGAGTGTATTACTCTCTATTTTATAGAGTTTAAGAGAAGCCTCTTTGCAAATAATGAAGAAATTCAAATCACTCTATTGGACGAGCCAAACAGATTCTCTCAATCGAGTGACATATGGTGACAATTAAATGACTTAATGATGGTAAAATTGAGTGATGTTAAATTTATTGGATTCGTCTTGCCGAGACATTCTGTTTGACTATAGATTCATCATATTTGGAATTTATTTAACCTTCCAATTATCCACCGAAAGCTTCTAAAAGTGATTTAATAAAATGATTTGTATTTGATTAGACTTAAATTGAACTAATTTTGGTATTACTAAATTTGTCTCGTTGCGCCTGTCAATTTGACTATAAGTTTGACGGAATTAGAAATTTGAATAGTTTTTAACTAAAATTTGAGTATTTTCTCTCAAAAATTTATCTCGTGATTTATGGCACGACTAATCATGCCAAATGGTAAATTTATTCATGTCGTATGAAGGATATTTTACGGAAAAGGCCAAACTAATAGATATGTGTCTACATTTTTAAAAATCCATTTTATGTTTGAAAAACATGTGGCATTTATGCAATATATGAAATTAGTTTCGCCAAACATTATATTCTAATTCGAAGTCAGAGCCAGAATTTTTTTTTTGAAATGGAACAATTATCTACCTATTTAAAAAATGCCCTCAATTTATATATATTTTTTAACTTAATAATCTGAGTAATATACACATTTTATTTTATTTTAATTGTTCATCATATATATATATATATATATATATAACTTAAGATTAAATTTAATAAAAATAAATAATTTAAATTATTTCTGTTTCTGGAAGCTACAACTTATTGAATAATCTGTTGATAAGTCAGCTGCAGTGACTATTACAAAATTTTATTTTTTAGGAAAAGCTTGGCACCTGCTAGAAAGCTGTCACCGCATCTATCTAGGTGCGGTGTGAAAATGTTGTTTTTAGCGTTTTGAAAACACTTAAGTTATCAAAATGCATTTTATCCAAACAAACATGATGCATTTTCAAAACGCCACCGCATCAAATAAACTGATACCCTTATTATGAGTAAGAAAAGAATAGATGCATCCACAAAGGTTAAAACCCTAAAAATACAAAAAAAAATAATAATAATAAGTTTATTGAGGTGATAATGAACGGGGTGGGCCCACTTAAATCCGTTAGGCATCTAGACTAACGGACAAATTCCCCCGTCTTGATTTTAAATTCTATATTTATTTCATTTTATTTAAAAATAAAAAAAATCGGTAAATGATTGCTGCCATGCAATTAAGAAGAAGAAGAAAAAAAAAAAAAAAGGCCACATGCAAAAATGGGAAATCTGAACAGTGAAATCTTCAATAAGCTAACACGCGTGCGACGCAACTAGCGCCATGGTGGAGATCCACAATATGAAAAGAAGATTCACATCATGTCACCCAATTTTTATATATTTGCATATGAAATATCTAAATTTTTAAACTTAAACCAACTTTACTTGCATTTGAAAATCTGCATTACACTTTTTAAAGTTATTAATAATGATCCTTTTAATGTGATATTATTACTGAAATAACTTAGCAATCGATACAAATTGTGATCCAGATCTTGCAGATATTTCTATTTCGGCCAATAATGATGCTATCGCTTCGATTCGATTGATTCTTACCAAGTTAGTATCTGCAATTTGTGAGGGTCATTCTAGTTATATAAAAAATGGTTGATCATCTTATCATTACTCTTAAGAAGAAAAAAATCAGTAAATATCGTCATAACTTGACTTAAAAGAAGAATGCAACATTCCCAACAATGTTGTAGATGCCCGTGAGATCCCTCATCAAGGTTTAAACTAGCCATCATGTAACCACTCGAAGCATCTTCAAAGGATCACCTCATCGAGGAATAAGCTGTTTTTCAAAGTACAGTGATTCAATCTCCACTTGATAGTCTAGTTTTTTTTTTTTTTACTAATAGGAGTTCCTCGTCTAAAGATCAACAGTCAACCGCCAGACTAGCATAACCGATTAATAAAACCAAACCAATCAAATCAAGTCTCACTAACTCGACCACCATGAAGGTCGTTTGACAATCCTGATTCAGCTCAGTCGAACAAACAAACCTTGTCGAACCATGACCGACTAATTTAAACAAACTGAGTTATAGAATGACAGAACCGAAGACCTATAGATATAAAATACCTAAAATATCATATAATACCCCATTAAAACTATCACAAATATATAACTTCATATATTGTACCCCCTCGTCTATAAATAGAGGGATCATTTCTTAAGCAAATGCTACTGAATAATTTAGATTAGCATTAATTAATGTGCACTTCACTCTGTTTCTCTCTCTCCCTCTCTTCCTACGCTTTATTTCCTGAGTGTGTTTCACTACAAATTTCAATTCAACAATATATATCATACCTTAACAAGGCTTTTATTGTAATTGATCACACGGATTTATTTGATCAAAATTTTGCTAAACTCAAATTGGATCCGAACCAAACTTAAAATATAAAAAATCTTATTAATTTTATTCTAAGATAAATTAAAATTAAAATTAAAATATTAAATTTGGAATAATTTTAGTTCACATCTATATTAGAGACCATAGATCCGAAACAACTAGAAAAGTAACACTAGAAAACTCCATAAAATAATTGACCGACTGACCATACCCAAACCAACTCGGTGCGACCTACCGTCTCTTCCCCTCTCCTCCGCGGATCGAATGTTCAACGGTCAAATTTTCAAATTATAAACCGTCGACCCACTCTACATCCCGCGTTACACCCGGCCTCCTTCAAATACTTCTTCCCCACTCCATCCCCAAACATCAACCATACCTTCTCTCATTTCAGCTTCATCCATCCTTCTCCTCTCTCTTTCACCCACACACACGAGCGCAGAAACATGCCTTTTAAACTCTTTAAACCCAAATCAAAGCTCACTTCCCGGCGAGCCACCACCGCCACCACCACTATAACCTCCCCTTCCCCCTCCGACCTCCCCATCCCCAACCATTTTCGCTGCCCCATCTCCCTCGACCTCATGAAAGATCCAGTCACCCTCCCTACCGGCATCACCTACGATCGCCGGAGCATCGAGACCTGGCTCAAAGAAGGCAACCTCACTTGTCCCCTCACCAACCAACCCCTACCGCTCGACGGAGATCTCATCCCCAACCATACCATCCGCCGCATGATCCAGGAATGGTGTGTTGCCCACTGCTCCCTCGGCGTCGAGCGCATCCCCACCCCTAAGATCCCCATCACCTCTCTGCAAGTCTCGGAGATTCTTTCCGAGATCTCCGCAGCCTTGCAGAGCGGAGATGGCCTCCGAGTTTCTGACCTTGTGGTTAAGCTAAGAGATTGGTCAATCGAAAGCGAAAGAAACCGAAGGTGCATTTCGTCAAATAAGGCAGCGGCAGGGGTGGTTGCAGCTGCTTTCAAGGATTTCCCTTCCGAGCAGGGGCTGTGTGTGCTCGCCGGCATGCTGCCGCTCAGCGAGGAGGCGAAGAAGCTGTTGTCAGACGCAGAATCTCTTAGCTCCATTGTTTCTGTGTTGAGGAACGGTAGTCTGTCAGGAAGGCTTCATGCTGTATTGATGGTGAAGGAAATCACTGCAACTGATACAGAACAAGCCGCTCAAATTGCGATGAACAATGGCTTGATTGAGGCTATTGTGAGGCTTGTCAAGGAGCCAATTTCGCCGCAGGGGACCAAGGTGGCGCTCGTTGCAGCTTACTACATGGTCGCCTCGGAGGAGAAAGTGGCTTCCAGGTTTGCAGAGATGGGAATCGTTACTGTTCTGTTAGACATGATTGTTGATGCTGAGAAGAGCTTGTGCGAGAAAGCGCTGGTTGTGATAGATGCAGTGCTGAACTCAGAGATGGGGAGACAGAGAGCTTTGAACCATGCTCTCTTCATGCCGGTGCTGGTTAAGAAAATGTTCAGGGTGTCGGACATCGCAACGGAATTCGCCGTGTCGGCGATATGGAAGCTGTGTAGGAAGCAGAGCGATAATGGCGAAAAAGAGAGGAGTTTGAAGGAGGCGATTCAGGTTGGAGCTTTTCAAAAGCTGCTGCTCTTGCTGCAAGTTGGGTGCAGTGATAGCACGAGGGAGAAGGCGACCGAGTTGCTGAGGATTATGAATGGAATCAAGGGGAAGGAAGAATGTACTGAAACAGCTGATTTTAAACATCTGAAGATGCCATTTTGAGATTTTTCATTTTTTTAAAAGGGATTTAATGATTGTTCAGATTGTATAGAGATAGATTATTTTTTGGTTTTGATACAGAAATGATATTCTTTTAATAAAAATTAGCAGTTGGTTTAATTAGAGAAATGAAGTTACAAACAGTATGAGGAAGCTTTTGAATGTTGGAAATTTTGCTGAGTTAAGTTGAAAAAGGTTGAAAAATTTATTAAGATGCATAAATATTTTAATTATTTTCTATAAACCATTCTTTTAATTATTTTGTTCATTGAAAATAAAACATAAAATCAATTATATGTAATTTTGAGAGTATATAGTTTTAAGAGTATATCATAAATTGGTTAATTTTAATTGTGATCCTAATTACGCAGTAATATTCTGCATTAATTCTAAGCACAAAGCAAGCTTTTGATAACTACATCATTAACTTGGTTTAATCTTCAATCTCTTACACTAAAATAGCATCTAAAAGACAAAATTCTTAGTTAAGGGTCTGTTTGGGGCAACTGCAGAGAAGACACTGTGAGGTTGTTGAAAAAGAAATTGATTTTCAAAAAGTTATGATAGTTATTATAAATTTATTTTATTTCAAAAAATCAAATCATAATTTTCTGACAGTCGCCACGCTTTAACAATTTTGGTTGAAAAATTTGATCTCTACCACAAAAATTTCTAAAAAACAACAAGAAAACAGTTTCACAAGCAAAATTATGATGAGCAAAAAACTGTTCCAAACAAATCCTTTGAAAAAGTTCATCACATGAGTTAAATTCATACAAAATTACTTTTGTTTGGCTTTCATGTCTTTGTCCTATATACAAGTTTGATTTCAAGGCCAATATAATTTCAACAATTTGCCTATCACAAATGTCATATAAAGAAAAATGCAAATATATTGAATTTGATATATAATTAATTAGTTTTGATAAAACATGATTAAGCTTTGACTTCTTAAGCCTTGCATTAAAAAAAAAAGCATGATGAAAAATTTCATTGTTCTCAATCTTCTTGATAATTTTTACATCTAAGAGAATACATATTAAACATATTTGCTAATTATAATCAAAGTAGTGGTGGAATCAGGGGGTGGTTGCTTGCTCGAGGCTGGCACTCGACAACCTACATTTTTATATACTTTTAATTTCATATAATACCAAAAAAATAAATACACCCCCTAAACATAAATTCTCTCTCTCTCTCTCTCTCTCTCTCTCTCTCTCTGATACCTAGTCATTGAGCTCCTCAATGTTGTTCTTAACGTTTGTCATCAACAGCAACAGATTACCATTGTCAGCACCATTAACATTAAAATTAGCAGCTGTAGTCATGAAATAATACATCAAATGGCACCATTTGTAACCATTAAATCTCTTTAATTGCCAGAATTGAGTGGTTCATGAGTTGCAGCCAGCTAGCCGTTTGTTATATTATTTAAATTTTCTGGGTAAAAAAAGGGAAGGACTTGATCAATGTTTATGTGGAATGATAAGGAAAACATATAAAAAATCTATAGACAAACATAAGAAATTAATTTTGCTAACAATCTCCTGCCTTTTCCAATCAAGCCTTCATATTAAATCACAATAATGGGTTGGCCAAATCATTCTGTCAATATATTACAATATAATGGGTTGGCTAAAAGCTTAAAAAATAAAGGCATAATCATTCAAATGGTATGGGTAACGGTGTTGGTTGCTTCATCATAAACGAGGAAAGAATCTAAATGATGCCACCAAAATTATACAATATTGAATTTCCTTAAATTTGCATTTTTACCAAGCAAATATTTCAAAATTATTCTTAAAATTAAGGCTACATTTTCTGGCACCGCACTTTTCAGACATTTGATAAAATAGCTTTTTCGAAAAATTGTGGTGGGAAGATGTGTTCTGTATTAAAGCTTCATTTGAGAAGACTGTGAAGTTCTGTTCCATTATAGTGAACACCAACATGTGGAAAACCTTTCGTTTGGGGAAGCAACGTCTTTAGAAGTTGTTTCGTAAGAACGATATTTTTTTGTCATTTAGATTACATTTCACCTTCTTCGTTATGCGGGTGTGGCTTTTGAAAGTGATTACCTGAACGACAAAGCTCTTTCGAACAAATCCTGTGTGGCGGCAGCCAGGAAGTTATGGTCTAATTTTTTGAAAATAAAATAAATTTGTAATAGCTATCATAACTCTTTGAACAATAATTTCTCTTATAGTGGTTTCACAATTACTTCCTCAAACAGCTACAGTTGCCCAAAATGTACCCTAAATTTAAGTAATTTGTTGGCTTTATCACTTTGTTTTTTTTAATGAAACAAATGTATATGGTACGTGCAAAATGATGAACATTAGGGAGCACTTGGTAGGATATTTTTAAGAGGAATTAAGTTAGATTTAACCTAAATCTAGCCAAACACAATAAGTAGGTTAGGAAAATAAATTCAATTTTTACTTCTTCCGTTTAATGAATCTGGATTTACTAAGTCTACTTATAAGTTTGATTTAATGGATTTAGCGCAGAAAAAAAATTATTTTAAATTGATTTATGTCAAATACATTAAATATAATTAACTGAATTTAAATTTAATTAAAAAAACATCATTTTGGATTTAATAATATTTAGATTTAATAAATTCAAATATAACTATTTAAAGTCCTCCATGCAGCCAAACATACCCTTAAAATCTTAATTATTTATTAAGATATTTTCCCCTCTCAAAAGTTACCAATCATGCTATGAGACGGCCTGGCCGGTCCACTCCGACCTTCACACATGCATATCGCTGACGACCCGGACCCGGTCTAACGCGAAGGAGTCATTCCTCCGTCTAAAAAGTCTAACAAATGGAAAAGCTTTGATAACGTGCGTGCATGACTACAACTTGGGAAAGCCAAAATGCACGTCAGAGATTTGTTATTGAAAAAGAAATGACATACAACAAAGAATCAAAGTGCCGGTCCGGTTCAGAAGACTTGGGTTGGTTTAGAGCCATATGGCAGAGTTAATTAGTTCAGGCGACGGGCAGGGCTTTTGGGAGACATACATAACAAGTAAGTTTATATATATATATTACATGTTTAACATCTAAATTTTTATATTTACAAGCATAGCGCTCAAATCTTTTAACATTACAACATCTATATTATTAGCTGAATTTTCTTCATGCATAAACTTATGATGCGAAAATGTGGTAAATGTAAATATCAAAATTTAAGTGTAACATATATAAATGCATATGAATTGAATGGAATGTATGTTAATCCCCCTTAATTTAGGGTGTATTTGGGGCAGCTGCAGCTTATTGAATAATCTTCTGATAAACTGATTTAAAATAATATGCTCATAAGCGATGTGCGGTAACTATTACAAATTTTTATTTTTTTGAAAAAGTCAAACCGTAGCCAGAAAGCCGCCACCGCACCTAGACATGTGCGGTGTGAAAACACTGTTTTCAACATTTTGAAACATTTTGAAAACGCATAGAAAACGCATAAGCTATCAAAACACAGTTAACCCAAACACGCCAGGTGCGCTTTCAAAACGCTATCACACCAAATAAACTGCCCCAAACGGACCCTCAATCGAGTTTTCAGATTCGATGATATGATTTGCGTCTGATTCTTTTTATTTTTTTGAGTTAGGATTATGCATTTGTCAAAAGAAATTAAAGAGTTTATGAGTATAAAATAGTATTTTTCAATAATTAGACGCCTAAATTTCATTTTTAAAAAATCATAAAAGTAGTTTCAACAATCTAGGAAGAATATGTCGGCTATTTGATGAAGACATCCACTTAAAAAAAATAATAATAATATTTTCAATCATGCAAAACTCTGAACTTGCTGTTTTGTAATAATGCCGGGCATTGCAATTATCAATCATGCTTATGTCGACCTCTCAAGCTTTATTCTCTAGCAGTTTAAGGGCCCGGTTGTGACAGCTTTTTTTTTTGGTGCGGTGATATTTTGAAAACACACATAACATATTTGGAAAAACTGCATTTTGACAACTTATACGTTTTCAAAACGCTGAAAATATCGTTTTTATAACGCACCTATCTAAGTGCAGTGACATTTTTCTGTCAGCGGTTTGACTTTTCCAAAAAAATAAAAATTTGTAATAACCACCATACCTAGCTTATCAGCAAATTATTTTTAATCAGCTTATCAACAGATCATCAAATAAATTACAGCTGCCTCAAACATATCCTAAGTCAACCATATATTAAAACTCAAATATTATTTAAAATATATATATATATATATATATATATATATATATGTATGTATAAGCCTGGCGCAATATTTATATTTAAGCCTGGCGAATTATTTATATTATTTATATTGTCTGATTAATTACAATTAAAAAACATGTAAGAAAATTTAAGAGATAATTACAGAAACAACATTCAAAATTTAAGTATTTATAGAACTACCACCACCATCATTTTTTAAATCGTTAAACTGGGTTTTTAAATGGATGGTTACTGAAGATATTAGGAGCCTGATAAAAACTGTTTTTTTCCACAGGGCTGATGAAATACCAATTCCATTATAAGGGTCATAAGATACTAATGATAGGTCTAATGCTAACTATAAGATCCACAATGTTGAGGTGGGATGATATTGCATGAGTTTGGCCTAAGAGGCTTAATGATATGTCAGAAGCTTATCTACTCCAAAAAAAATGTCAACAAAAGAATGCCCAATATGCTTTGTGGACTACTACATGATAGTAGAACAAATAGGTTGACATTGATTAAAGTGTATACATTGATCTCTAACAGAAGAAGAAATGTTTATCAGGACACGAGATTCATGAAAGGATTAAAAATGGATATGAAAATATATCAACTTTCAACTTATGGGCTGACCAATTAAGAATATGAATATATAGTTGATACTAGCTCTCTATAACCTCAATGACAAGTAGGCCATACCCATCATCTTATACATGGGTAGCCAACTAAAGATGAGACATCCTCAACCTTATGAATCGATGTTTAAAGATAAGTTAGAATGGTTTCCTTAACGTGTCATTATCCGGGCAAAACATCCATAGCCTATGATCTAACTGCCTAAAGATAAGATGAATGGTGTGATCGTCATATCATTTGGTCTAGGAATGATTGGGAGAATATAGTACAAACATTCAAAGGTATGAAAAGTATTCCCAATCACATGATGATACAGATAACCGGTTAAGGGTAGAATATTTTCAAACTTATGATTCAAAATAACATGCAAATATAAAATGGAATTACCCTTTCATTGTAGCAAGGTGTTGTGATATATAGAACGATCGACGAAGAAAATAAAAAATATGAACGGGAATATTCACAAACAAGAAAACAGAGAAACACACAGATTTATATGGCTCGACAAATTGTCTACGTCCACAAAGTTGCAAAGAATTTTATTGCTTGAGGAATTACACTGTTGTCGTTCACATCGACTTACAAAAAGAGTCTCTCACTTTCTCTCTCTACACCCGAGATACACACGAAGGAAGAAGACAAAAAAAGAAGAGAAGATGCCCTTGCTATTTCTTTCTTCAAGTCTCATCGTAAGTCAAATCATAAAGGAGGAGAAACGGAGAGCATTATATTGTATTCCCTTGCCTTAGAGATGCTTAAAATGAATGGCAGGATCTTTGCACTGAAAGAAAGGGTAGGCGGGAACAATTAAATTTCGTTTTTTTTTTAAACAAGGCTCCACATAACAGGAGGGTTGTAAAAGACTATCTGTTGAAAAAAAAAAAAGAAAAGAAAGATTGCCTCTAAAAGGAGAGAACCAAAGTTCTAAATATAGGAGGGATTCTAATGCACCTTGTTAAGGACAAAAAGGGAATCTTATTACTAATGGAAGGATAAACTTAAAAAGAGTTCGATTACCTATACATGGAAACAAATAAAATACATTCACTTATCGAATGACAAAAAGGGACTTATTCCATAGACCAAGTCAGGGTAAATGTGTGCATGAAACAGAATGCGAAGAACTGAAATCGAGTGAACATCAGCACACACATGCCTAACTTGATGCTCCAAACTTAGTCTACTGGGACTACCATATTCAATGTATACATGACATGCAAAATTTCTAAACATATAACAGCAACGAAACACTATACAAATTAGCATGAAAAATATAATAATCTTTTATGAAAACGTATTAACACGGGAACATTGATCACATTAAATCCTCCTTTTATAAAATCCTCCTTTTACACAGAGGAAGTTGATACAAAATATTTCTTCAAATAAAGATCATTTATAGACATCATAGGCCACCAGCCCTTGAGATCTATCCACGGGTAAAAGCATTTTTGTTCATCCAAAAGCTTATCATTTAACAAGCAGCCTACAAAAATAAACTTCAATCAACATCCTCACCCTCATCACATTGCAAAGCATATGAAGAGTTCCAAACATAATATTTTCCCAGAAAAAAGGCCCAAAAAGATGATCATTGGAATAACTATGATGCAAATAACAGGGGTGGCTGAGTGATCTCAGACACAATCAGAGGAAATACTATCAAATAACTCATAATTGAGCCAAAGGAAGCACAAAATTTCCGTTTTTTATAATTACAGTTACATCCCTAAATTATATATCGCCTTGGAACTAAACTATAATCAAAATTATTTTGTACGTAATTTATTGTGTAACAGATCAGCCAATATCACATAATTTTATTAATACAAGCAGGAAATTAAAATTAGAAATGGACTTTAATGATTTGACTAAAATCGATTATAAATGAATTGACTAAAATCAATCACACTTGCAAAATCAAAATAAAATTATGTAGATGAAAGAAAATAAAGCAAGAGTTCACACAACTGACATCAGAGAATAAGAACAAGAACAGGTAGACCACGTGATCTCTCTAATTTTTACAGAAGCCGTTCACCAAAAAAGCTCAACAAGACTGCTAGGAATTGAAAAATTGCTACAGGAACCACCAAACGAGATCCAATTGTTCATAATGTTTTTGGAATGTTGAATGAACAAATATAAAATCACATTATTTTGAATTTGTGACCTCCCAAAAGTGAGCGCAAATAATTAAACACAGACAATTAGAAGGTCATGCCATCTGCAACAGTAGAAATATGAATCAAAAGATTAATTCTAGCCAACAGTAGCTTACATAAAGACCAGATCACCACGGAGCCTATGCTAGATCAACATAGAAACTTAAGCGAAGAATTAGAATATTAAAGATTACATTCTATTCTTATAAACGCCATCATAGGCATGCTCTAAATACACTAAAATTTAAAGCTAAATTAGACATTCATTAAGCAAATCAGGTCATAGTTGTGCTTTCTATAATGTACTTCATCAATAGTCACATACATGTGTGTCACATTATAAAATATTTATAGAATCTATCATCAGTAGCGAGTGAGCACAATTTTAATATAGAGATGAACTTTCTGGCATAGTATTGAATGTGAGGTAACAACACAATTGTAAAAGAGAAGAACATTGGACCCTTGTGCTTGAAAGCTCACAGTTTCATAATCTATTTCACCTTTCCCAAAGCTTAGTTGAGTTCAAAACAGAATATCTTCTTTTTTAATTCACTTTTAGAAACAGTAAATTAGAAGAGATGCGTAGCAAAAGTTCTAGCTTAGATAGCGGAGACTTCCAACGAATTGAATTATTTTATCCGAACTGGCCCCATTGTAAGTTCAAAAAATAAAATTTATATCAGATGCATCAAAAGATAAAACTAATATCAAAACTTCCTGGTTTTTTTAAGCTTATAAACATGGATATCCCTATGCACTGCATGATTTTTGTAATAAAATGAATCCCGAATCAGATCAACCCCTCCTCAGCCCTGTCCCTTTTCACCCAATTGTGACTGAAAAATCCACAAAAAATTTGCAAAATCCACTCCACACCTTGGTAGCTATCTTTGCAAAAACGTAACTCCACCGATTCCGCTTGCCACCTTGCTTTTAGATTTGTGAAGATATAAACCTAGGAGTTTACTCATCCTCTGTTCTTCCCTCCACAGGCGTTGACCTTACTTCAAATGTTAAAGGACAAATATTAATCATAAAGTTTTGTTGGAAAAATCTTGCCCCGTCAAGAATCCTTCAAGAAATTCCAAGAACACCTGAAAGAAAACCTTCTAGGGAACTCTCTGTGTATTGAGTTAGATGATTAAGAACTTAATAATATTATCTAAATCTTTCCAGCAAGAATAGGATCCAAGAACTTCTTTCTTGTTGGAAAAAACCTTACTGCACTGCTTGATAAGAACTCCTTGCCGTTCACTTCCCTAGGCCTGAGGTTCTTGACCTGGATCTTTGTAGCAAGAGAATAGAGTTCTCCCTCCCTGCAACGGTTCTTGGATGCCGAGGATCTTGCTACAGGCCAAAGGCCAAAGTATAGGATTGCCGTTGTCGAAGAGCATTTACAGTGCTTCGACTACCTGAACAACAGAATGGGAAGGAAAGAACTACCACAACAAATAAGAATAAGAACAAAAGAAAACTGCGAGAACTACACAAACATAAGAACACAAAATATTGCATGGTTCGGTCCATTGACCTACATCCACGGAGGGAATCGCTACCAAAATTCACTAGCACAAAGAAAGAATTACAGGCTCATTACATCGAGGAATCACAAAGTCTCTCTAGATCTCTATCTCTACAAGACCTCTCCCTCAACTCTAAAGTCTCTCCTCTCTTTCTTCCTCTCATTGCTGAATTTTCTTCCTCCTCTTGACCTTCTTGATCAAATTTTTCTATCTCCTTATGGTAGTCTATCCATCCCACAAGACCCCTCATCTATTTATAGATAGATGAGGCCTCCCAAGAGGCATGAAAATTACAAGTGTGTCATTTGTCATAATTAAGAGCCATGATATGTAACAAGTTTAAATTTCGTAGAAATATTTAACCAAAATGATTAAGCATGTCCCACTAATTTTAAATGAACACATTCAACTATTTAAAACTCATATTAGTTATAACATTAGAATTTTTTTTCTAAGTTATTGATACCCATTGAAAGTTCTATAAAGCTATACCCCGCGTAGAATGCAAAAATATAATTTTGAATTTTATAATAGTTGTATTCCAATTATCTAGAATCACAACTTATCTAGTTTGTTCATATTGCAGTATGCTATTATTTTATTGCTCGATCCAGGTATTATGTCTTGTTTCTTGTTAATATGATGATATAATAATAAGCTCTAATACCATTTTGACATAGGACGTGTTAAGATCAAAGATTCCTAATGTAACTAAATAATGCAATGGATTAAAATCAAGCGACTAGAATTTAAATTTAAAATCTAAATACCACAAATTAAAACAAGAACTCAACATCTCTTGATTTAACCACAATTATAAGAAATAAGCATCAAATGATATTTTAATAATAATGTAAACAAAAAAATTGAACTATAAATATAAAGTCACCATAAACCATCATTCAATAAAAATTCACACAACAATAAAAAAATTAACTATTAAAATCAATCGTGCTTCTAAAATCAAGATCAAATTATGAAGACAAAATGGAAAAAGATAAGAATGTAACCGAATATATAAATTTAGGCCTCACAGTAGTATGAGAACATAGTTTACACCAAAGATTAATACACATTTGCACCATAATTCAATGACTCCACCAAATATATAAGATTTAAAAAAATCTGAATTTTATTTAACCATAAAGTTCTAAATTTCTTATCATAAAAATCAAAAGCTAAGTAGTGGCGATCTCTTACATTTCTTCAGGGAAAGAAAGTTCAAATCGTTAATTGTTAAATCCCGTGATCTAGCAATAACGGAATATCCATCAGCTCTAAAATCAGGTGACTAAGGAAAATAATAACAGAGATGAGCATAAACAGCTAAGGCATATAATAACAGAGATGAGCATAAACAGCTAAGGCAAATAATAATGAGGATATGCGAAAGAATAGGCTGATCACCTGATATCGCCACCCCAAACAGATAAAGAACACAAAAGCGGAACCGAACAGCTGCTACAGAATTCAGTAACAACATACCATCTATTAAAGTAAGAGTGGAATAAAAGGAATAGTGCTTCAATAGTCAGTAACTAGGGTAAAAATCAGCAACCCAACCGACATCAGGCCAACAAAGAAATCGAAAATGAACCTTAAAACCATGGAATCAAAACAATAGAGATCACATACTATTTTCATAACCATCTTCCAAATAAAAGAAATTAAACTTTTAAATAAAACAAAATATTGCCTTGATCATTTATTCACTCAACTTTTTACAAGTACATGCTTATGGATCTCCATCACTTGCTAATGCCACTTATTAATGTTCAAACCTTGCAAAACAAAACAGAAATATGAGATTTTGTTCTTCTGTAGCATCTATTATACAGCAAAGATAGCAGCTATTTGTTTAAATTGAAGAGCTAATTCTAGATTTCTAATGAAACAATGATGATACGAAGCCAAAGTAGCTAACCGTGCTTTAAGAAATTCCAAAGAATATCAACATTTTCTCATACAGAGAAAATCTCAAACTGAAGATCTACAGAACTACGTGTGAGCAACAGTAGTATGATATCAAATGTTTTACCATATAGCCTAAAAGAAATCAAAGAACAGATTCTCCACTGATTCTTATAGTGAGCACAAATCAGAATATTTGCTGATTCTTGTACCGTTTTTCATCTTCTTCCAATTCTTGGACAGCCTTATGAAATTTACAAATGGTGTAAATGCACCTGACAACAATAAAGCAAAAAAAAAAAACTAAAATAAAGAAGCATTTCTTATAAATGAATTCTATCAGTTATTTATATGCCGAGCAGTAACTGTGTAGCAGTATAGTAAGCAAGCTAATATACAAAGGACCACGTTTCTTTGAGCTTTGCAGATCTGTAAAAGAAAAATGTTTTGTAATAGTTATCTTACATTATAAAAAATAAAAAGAACATTTAGGGCTCATCTGGTTGCTTGAAGTTCGAAACACAAAAATATGATTAAATATAGTAAGAAATCAATGACTATTAAATTCATGGGTTTGCTCTCCTTTAGGCTTCGGCAACAATTCTTCAAATAGCTTGAAGTGACCATCTAAGAAGGTGCAAACTAATTTTGCATCACTCATGTTGAACACCTATAAAATCTTATCAATATACTCTGCCCAAGACAAATTAACTATACCTGCACTTCTGTTCCTGTTGATTCTCATCCACAAGATCTTCTTAGTTGGACTTAAATCCTTCATCTTGAACTCCCTTGATAATTTCTCCTTCAAGTACCTGATTTTCTTCATACTCGCTACTGCAATTAGCATACCATCAACATATAAAATGAGCAAGATAAAACAATTACCCAAATTTTTCAATAAACAACAGTGGTCTGCCAGACACTTCATGTATCAACTGTTTGACATAAACCTGTCAAACCTCCTGCACCACTATCTCAGGGTCTGCTTCAAGCCATAGAAGTTTTTTCTTCAACAAGTAGACCAAGTCTTCTTCCACTGGAAACGGTTGAGCTATATGCAATTCATCTTCCAGATTTCCATGTAAAAGAGTGGCTTTACATCCATCTACTCCAGATATAGATCTTTTTATACTACCAAGCTCAACACAACTCTGATAATTATCTCCACTAAAGGAGAAAAAATCTCAGTGTGATTTACTCCTTCCTTCTATTGAAATCACTTCACAACAAGTTTTGTTTCGCAGTGTCTGCTACCATCTGACACATCTTTCAATCTGTAGACTCACTTGTTATATAATGTTCTTTTGTCATCTAATAATGTCGTCAAATCTCAAGTCCGATTTGACATCAGTGTACATCTCATCATCCATCACAACATTCCCCTCATAGTTTTTAGCTTGAGCAACATCTTCATAACACTCTGATTCACCACTATATGTTAACAACAAATAATATAAAGAAAAAGATTACCTGTGTACTAGTAGTGTCACTCTGTCGTAACTCCTGACTTCAAAGTAGGTGACGGAAGAACTTTAGGAGCTTCACTGATTGAGTGCGTCTCCTTTCTCCACGCTCTTGATTACCAATGTCTTCCATCTCAATATTTTGAACACTTCAAAAATAATTGACAGATAATCCTGAGTTTTGCTCCTGTTCTTATACACCGTCGTTTTATTTAAAGTGATATCCTTGTTCCTGATAGTCTCAGAATTTATACCCAACTTCATTTGAGTCATACCAATGAAAGTGCACTTGACAAAATTCGGATCAAGTTTACTCTTAGTCCCTGCATCAACATGTACACATGCAAAATAACCAAATACCTTCAAGTGATATAATTTTGCCTTTTTATCACTACAGACTTCAAGTAAGCATTCCTTCAAAAATACTGATGAAGCACAATTTTTCACATAAATTCTATTGTTCACTAGTTTTACCCAGAATTGTCTTGACAAGTCTAGATGCAAGCTTATAATCTTAGCTCACTCCATAATGGCTCTATTCATGCGCTCAACCACACCATTATGTTGTAGTTTCATTGGAACAATGAACTCATGTCTGATCCCTTATGTAGCACAAAAAATTCTGAAACTTTGATCAATATACTTGCCCCCATTGTCTGATCTAAGACACTTCAATCTCAAGTTTTTCTCATTTTCAACCATGACCTTCTACTTCTTAAACACTTTAAATACATCGGATATTTACTTTAAGAAGTAAAATTATATCTTTATCGTGTAATTATCAATGAAAGTGACAAAGCAATGAAAAACTCTAATAGACTAAACTAGAGTAAAATCTCATACGTTACTATACACTAACTAATTTTTTTTTACTCCATTGACCCATCTTTAGAGAAAGAAATTTTCTTCATGTTGTCATATACACAATCTTTACAAAACTCTAAAGTCATAAATTTGAAACCATGAAGCTTGTTCTTTGAAAGTAGAGACTTTATACTTTTTTCGCTTATATGAGTAAGCCTACGGTGCCAAAAACCCGCATCATCCTTAGTTCAAACAACATTAATATTGCTAGGTAAAAAGAGCCTTTAAAGTTACCCCAACCCACCACATTGCTCCTCTGGTCACTTCCATGAATCACCCATGAAAGTAAACACATATCCTGACTTTGTCAGCTAACTCACTGAGATTAAATTTCTCTTCAAACTTAGAACATGTCTTACTTCACTAAACTTCTAGATAGTTCATTCAATTAGGTAACTATATATCAACATCGTCTTTTCTTATGATACTGGAGACATTGTATCTCTCGAATAAATCTTCTCTAGATCACTCTGAGTGTAATTTTTAAAAACCTCTTTGTTAGAGAAAGCACGAAAAGACGCGTCTAAAATCTACTATCTAAGATTCATTACTAACTAGGGACAAAATCAGAGTCACCTTAGATCTTGTCTGTGAAGACACTTGTAGAAAGATTCTTGTCTTGGCCTGCACCACCAGACTTTCTTAGAGCATTGCAATTCTTCTTGAAATGAGATCGCTTCCTGCATTTCCAACAGTCTCCTTTATCATTTCTTTTGAATGACTTAGAATTTCCTCTTTAGGATTTGAATTTGTTTCTACCTGTATTACTGTCGAGATACTTTCCCATGCTTTCAAGTTCAACGTGGAACCTAAAGATTCACCACTCACTGTCTTTCTTTAACTTTTTCATTCAACACTAACTCCATGAGGTCATCGAAGTTCAAATTTATATTACTTGAAGAGTTACCGTTGTGACCATTCCATCCCAACCGCCCGACAATGAAGACAAAATTAACATTGCCCTGACCTTATCGTCAAATTTAATACCCACAGAGCACAATTGACTAGTCACATTCTTGAAATTATTCAATTGCTCAACACCGAATTGTTTTCCGTCATCTTCATATTAAATAACTTCTTTATCAAAAAAATCTTATTTGAAACAGATGGTTTTTCAGACACCTTTGTCAATATCATCATAAGATCCACCGTAATTTTCTCATTTACTATGTTGAACACAACAGAAGAGGAAAATAACAGATGGATCAAACCTAGGACCGTTCTATCCAACACTTCTCATTCTTCAACAGTCATCTATCAAAGCTTCTTGGTGATTCCTTATAGTAGAAAATATAATTTCTTTTGATACAAAGAATTTTCCACTTGCATTCTCCATAACGCAAAATTCGATCCATTGAACTTCACCTTGTACCTCTCTTCGTAGGTCATTACTCCCACTCAAATCAAAATTCTTTAGAAGAAGAAACCTTATTCTAATAACACTTGTTGGGATTGATACTAGAGCTTTAATTGATTTACAATCAAAACTACACCGCGGAAAATAAGATCACACTGATTCGAAAAATTCAAAACAAAATATTAAACAGAAATGTACAACAAATTAATCATAGAAAAATACACCAAGATTTAACGTGGAAAAACTTGAGAACGGAAGAAAAAACCACACACCATACCAAAATTTCATTATAACGTGAGAAATGTACAAACATTCTCACTAATCAAATCTTTCTCTCTACATCACAGAAACTTACAATAATTATGGAGCTCGTCTCTCGATCACACGAGAAATTACTAAAATCCTCCTCCTCGACTCTTCTTCGTTCCACATGAAAGCTCTGTCAAGAAAATACCGCATGCACGAGAGTATCCATCGCTATAAATTAAGGGATTCAAGTCTTTTAATGGAGAAACTGCATTAGCGTAAGCACAAAGGCACTCGGCGTAATTATTCCTAATTTTCAGAACCTAAACTTGGAACGAGCGAAACACCGACGTAGTTATGTCGCCTGGCATAGTTACGTCACTAGACGTAGCCATGACAGTTTTGGCATAGGTACACCGCGATTGCAGTCTCCACACTCAATAATCTTCACCTCCGCTATCACTTCTCTCCCTATTTAATGTTCTTTTCTTCATATTTCCAAACCTCCAAACCTGGAACGAGCGAAACACCGACGTAATTGTGCCGCCAGGCATAGTTACGTCACCCGACGTAGCCATGACAGTTTTGGCATAGGTACGCCGCGATTGCAGTCTCCACACTCAATAATCTTGACCTCCGGTAACACTTCTCTCCCTATTTAATGTTCTTTTCTCCATATTTCCAACCCTCATTAGCCCCCCCACCCCCACCACCACATTGCAATTCGATATTTCAATAAAATTCAAAAGAGATGTATTAAGAGAAACTTCATACGAACGAAGATAGAAAGATATCACTTGGTTTTTTATGCTGAAACAAACATAACCACTTGTTTGAAGATAAGAGTTGAACATAGAGAAAAAATTGATGATGTTTCTTCTTGCCTTCTCTTTAGCAATCTTAAGAACTTCTTCCTTTTTTTCTCTTCTGCCTTGCAAGTGAAGATTACAAAGGTTTATTTAGCAAAAAGCACGCCATCAAATATTAATGATCGATCATCATTACAGATAATTATAAATTCAATTATAAACTTTCTTTGGTACTCCTCATGTGGGAATTTGAACTAACTTAATCACGAACGCACACCGTATAAGCAAAGCCTTTAACTCAAAACCGTTTGGTTGAAAAATAAAGCTCTCAACCACTGGGCCAAGATTGCTTGCATTTTTTTGGTACCCTTCATTAAAGACTTTGTGGTAACTTTTATTTACGACTTTATGATAGTCTCCATTTGGAACTTTGTGAAGAGAGTAACTGTTTTAAATAATTAGAAAGTGAACAACACACTAAACACTTACAATTTCACAAGTATGGATTTTGACCTTATGCCTTCATTTTGTATTTACCTAACTATATGTGTTTTGTACTCAAAATTCACCCTTAATAAGCTACCCTTGAATAAACTTGGTCTAGTTTCCATTGTGGCTAAGGGATGGCGAAGGCTCTGTATAGAGCAGTCCAGAAATCAGGACATTGTAACAGCATTGTCATTCATGGCTCCCAATCCATGGCAATGGATAAGACGTAAAGCCAAACACATGCGCTCAAATGCCGCCCGTGCGCAGCAGGAACACAAAGCACAGACCACCACGCCAAACAAAACCTAATTTCTAGTTCCAACGACAATAACCCTATTTCTCCACCTAGAGATTTAACCATAAAGCAAATCTTCGATTCCAAACACACCCAGTGAGCTCTAATAAAGGTTCTCCGATTGTTATTGTTGTTGTCGCCGTCCTTCCTTCATATACTACTTACCAATAAACTCCCAAACCACTTTATAGAAATACAAAAAAGTAAAATCCCTGCAATAAATCAACAGAGAAAAAGTGGAAGAGAGAGAAAATTTACAGATTTCTCGTAGCGATCCCTCTCGGAAGCAGTGCAGACCTCACTGACACAAATCAGGAAGTGCTCCTTCTTCCAATACAAATCTGAAAGAAAAATGCGCCCGAGGGTTCAGCAAAATGAATCAGAGCAACAAAGTGGGGAAACATGGGGCTGAGAGGATAACCCATGAGTTGAAGGACGGCGAAAGGCAACACGCCCGCAGAAGGCTTGAGAAGGAGAGTAGACAGCGTCACTACCGTTGATTTGAGAAGCTGCGGCAATGGCAGCGTTAAGATGATTGCAATTGCCACTTCCACCAACACCACGGAAGCCAGGATCGCCCATTGCAACTCCATGTTTTCTTCCCCCTCACTCTTTCTGGAGCTCGAAGCCTCTTCCTCTGTTGGTGGGTGGCATCAGAACAAAGGCTTCGATTCATTGAGCGGGGGCCATAACTCGAGGACGATGATCGTAATGCATCAAAATTGATGCAGGTTTGCGGAAGAAGTAATGGGATAAGATACTGAAAGATTAGACAATCCACAATTAATATATTGAGTTTGAAACATTTTAGAATTATTTAGAGATGAAAGAATTTTTTTAAGATCCCAAATCTTATGCATTTACTTAGGATCCGTTTGGGGCAGTTTATAAGTGCGAGCGATATTTTCAAAATGCCGCCGTACCGTTTGATTCGCTCGTTTCGCCAACTTATCTGAAACTGCGTTTGTGTTTTAATACTAAACGCAGACCCGCAGACCGCGTTTCAGGATAAACAATTTATCCTGAAACGCACAAACTGCCCCAAACGGACTCTTAATCTCACACCTCAATTTTAATTTTTACACACTATATATTCCAGTAATGTATGAAAAGATGGACTATACTATTTCCACATTTTCATACATAGAAAAATATATTTTAAAGCGTAACAAATTGAAGTTTGAGTGTGAGAGAAGTAATGCATAAGAATTGGGTGCTTTACGAAAATTACAAAAAAATTTATTTAATTTAAAGTAAAATAAAAATAATATATTTTAAAAATAATGTTTGCTGGCGGCAATGATGAGCGGATATTGGTGGTGATTAGCGACAACTGTCGGCACACCACCAATGGCTGCATGTGGTGATGGTTGGCAGGATTGATCGGTCACGACCCGGTGATTGGCAATGGTGGCCGACATGCGGCAGACAATGAGGTGCGGCGGCAGGCGCCAACTTAACATGAATTCACTAGCAACCTCTTTGGGCGACAGAGCGCTAGCACTTGATCCAAAGCTGACTGGCGTCTGATTCCATCGGACAAACAAGATCGTAGTATGATAATATAATTTTTTTTTAGATTTTGGTCAATCGCGCTAGCTCGATCCCAATTTTGGGAACGAAGATGATGAGAATGATTACAAAGACGAGAACTGCCCAAGCTGGCTCGATCCCAATGTTGATTGCAAAGATGATGAGATCAATTACCCATTCGCGATCCTTTTTTTCTTTTTTAACCTACTTGCTCAATTAACGATGGCTCACAGTTGAAATTTCAGAGGTGCTACGACAGATTTGGGTGGTAAATGTATTAATTAAAATTTAGGTGTTAAAAACAGGAGAAACAGGTAAAATTAATAGCAAGGTTGAGAGGACAAGCATAAATTTTAGTTATTTCTTGTCATCTCAAAAACTTTTCCCGCGTGATCCTCTAAATCATCAAAACCATCGTCATCGTCATCAAAATCATCATCATCATCGGAGCTGAAAGCTTCATGTTGGCTGTGGTGATTTTGAAATCTGAGGGCTTGGATAAGTCCTAGTTTTCCATGTTCCTTTGTTATTCTTGTTGGCTTCTTCCATGAAGGGAGAATTTTATTGAAATATCTAACTCAGTATCACTTTGGACTTGGACAGTTATGTAGCCCTCAGTGCAATCCTTTACGTTGATGTTCTCATGAAATGTAGAATTAGACATTGGAAGTTTGCTACCCAATATGTTAGTAATGACCCCCACCTATTCGCTTTGTGGTAACAATTGGATTCCCTATCATTTTGGGTAATTACCACCACCTCCACTCTACTAAATTTACTTGTTGAGCAAACGTTACCATAACTTTAAAGCCACTAATCATATGTATGAACTCATTCAGTGTCCTTTTTGGTTCGGCGCCCCGAACGCGACGAGACGTTGTTTTGGCAGAACGCGGCCCACGTTCTAGCAATGCATTATTAGGGTTTAGGTTTTTATTACGCTCTTGTCCCACATCGAATCCCTAGCGCTCCTTCTGTTTAATTTTTATTTATGACTCACATTTATTTTAATAACTTATGAGATTTATTTTGATAACTTAAATTATTTATTTTCTTAACTCATAACCTCATAATTTCTTAACTCATAACTTATGTCATAATAAATGATATCTTAAGTTATGTATTTTTATAACCCATGATAACTTAAGTTATTTATTTTCTTAACTTATAACTTATGTAATAACTTATGATATATAACTTATGATAACTTAAATTATTTATTTTCTCAACTCATAACTCATGTCATAACTTATGATATTTATTTTTATAACTCATGATAACTTAAGTTATTTATTTTTTTAACTCACTACTAACTTATGTCATTGATTTTACAAATAAAAATAAATTAATTTATTAAATTATCATAAATGTTATTGGTTAGTAACTTCATTCATGGATGATGGTTAAATATAACATAATTCAAAGAATGAGTAATTTCTCTTCTTAAAGCAGCCAGTACATTTCCCTCCATCAGTAAGTAAGAAAGTTTCAAGGGATTAGAGAGAGAATTCAAATCTTCAAAATCAAATTTCTTTAGGATCAAATTTTATTATCATGAATACATGTATGTGTTACTTTATCGTAGACATGTAAAAATTATGAATTTAAAATATCTTGACAAATATGTAATTTTAGAATTTGCGTCATAATTCTTGAACACGAATTTCTAACACCTCCCTCGTCGCGCTCCACCGACCGAAGCTTCAGCGGTTCGTGTTCAGATTTTGCTGGATTTTGGCGGCGAAAGTTGGAGGATTGTTGTTTTCTGGGAGGTGGATTAGGTTCTTTGTTTTGGATTTTGATTCATGGATTTTGTAATTTAAACTTTTGAGGTGCGGTCAGGATGCCGAGGAGTTCTCGCCAAAAATCGCACCGGTCGCATAAGCGTAGTGCCAGATGCGACGGAGCGTTCAGAATGAGAATTATGGGAGTTCGAGAATCGTAAGCTGACATTGGTGGGAGCTGGTCCTGGTTCTGGGGATAGGGTTTGGAGGGATGCGGATATGGAGAGCAAGCGCCATCGTTCCAGGAGGACGGTTATTGAGGTGGAGTTGAAAGACAAGAAGGATAATACTGGTAAGGTAACCCGGAACAGTAGCTTACCTATTTTCTTATCTATCCTCCAATGGTCTGTGATGAATGAGTGCCATTGGCTCATACCCAACACATAAAATCTACTTTTTACATTTATGCCAACCAAATCTTTCATAACACATAAAAAAAATACTACTTTTTGAACTTTTAAAGAGTGAAATATATATTTTCGTGCATTATCAAGGTGGCACATATGTAAAAGTTGAAGTTTAGGTGTTATATATGTAAATACAGAAGAATTTAGTAATAGGTATGTAAATCTTACTTTGTTTTTATCATGTCTCTTATCAGTCTTAGTACATGCAGCTGCATTACCAAATTTTTTAATTTTTTAATTACAATTTTTTTTTGGAAGATTAATCAGTAAAGGTTATTTATTAATTATAATTTTAATAGTTTTTTTATACTATTTTTGGTACTCAATGTTAAGTGAGATGCATATCTAAAATTTAGTACCGTTAAGAAGTTAATTTCTGTTTTTTAAGTATCAAATATATAACTGTCACAATTCTGTTACAAACAACTTTACTAAATAAGCGCATAATGATCAATTTTCAGAAGCAGCTGCCCCACCGTTGTTTTGATTCAGCTGTAATAAACAGACAACCAGCTTCCCCGCAGCAGTTTCCTGAGGCAGCGCAGCAATTGAGAAACTGCAGCTGCCCTAAACACACCTTAAGTGACGATGATGACCGTTGTCGATGGCATTATTTTTTTTTTTTAATTTTTTTTTTTCTACAGGATAAAGTTGGTTCTATTCATTGCTTGTTGTTTTTGTGAAGAAAAGGCAAGCTAAATCAAGCCGTCGACAATTTGATTCTTTCTAATGTTTTGTATCATTCAGCCATCTTCTGGTTTAACGATTCAAGAACCCCCCAAGAATGATTAGTGCAATTCTCCTAAAGCCATAAAGGCTTGGATCGACGAGTCTCGTCAAGGCCAGCATGGTTCACCTAATCCAGACATCAAATTTGCAAGATTTTGATGTCGTTCTAATTGTTTCCGTGAAACAATCCTTTGGGTTTCAAATCATTTGGGCAATAACTTTGTGTGAGTGGGAAGCACTGAATTATTTTTTGAAGTAAGATTAACAAATATTTTTGACGGATCAGACTCAAGCCAAATAATTAGGTACTATAATTTTTTGTTTATTCAGCAATGATTGTATAAAATTGTTGTGTATATTGAAAATTTTGAAATTCTCTGAATTTCAAAATATTGAAATCTTGAAGTTAGAGCATTCGATAAAGCTAGTTGTAAATTGATTGATTGAATTAAAGAAGTTTCAGTTAGCCAAATTCCTCAAACCAATAAATTGTTTCCTCATGGTGAAACTCAATATTGAAAAAGATTGATAATTTTGTCCTAGCAAGCTTGTAAAGTATCTTTTGCGTGGCAAGCAGTAAACATCAACACTGAACCTGCCACGTTTCCAGCTAAATTATTTCCCATTAAGGGTAAATTGAATCCCAAAGAAAAAAATACCAGTAAAAGCTCGTTTTAGCCTTGCAACAATGCTCTTCAATGGCTTCAAATGTCTGGTGAAACTCAATATTACTACACTTTAGAACAAGTAACAATTAGCAGAAACTGTATTTGAATCAAATATTGCATTATTCTCTACATGGCGTTCATATCATAATTGAAATCTAAGAAACACTCTTTCAACAAAAAAGCTTTCAAAAAGCCAATGAAGCAGAAATGGATTCATAAAACCATCACAGTTCCAACTTCCCGACTACAGAACGCTGAAGCTTTCCGCCCACTATAAAATTGCGGGGGAATCTTCTATAAGACCTCGTACAGACCCCGGGTTAGGCAGATAACAGACATGCCGTACTAAAACTCCAGCAATTTGGGGCATTCTTAATATTTACATAGTAACCAAGCACATAAATTATTAGCAGCAGTTATTAGAAGCAAATAAATTGAACAAGAGCGTATGAGTCACCTCTCTGAAATGCCTTGTTCTAGCAAGATCATGAAGGCAAGCGATTAACCGCTTTCGGCAGTTCCCAAGACAACGCCAACTATCTGGTCCCTTGGATAGCCCATGCCAACTGCTTTCTCAATCATGTCTGCATAGGGGTGATGAACCGCGATCAGGGAAGCGGCTGCATTACCAATTGGTGGATAGCTTCCAAGATGACAACTCTGAAGATGAGGAGCTCTGTTCCCATCATTGGCATAAACAGCTTTATAACCCAGAGGAGGATAAGTGCTTGTTCCCAAATAACCGCAATCAGCTAGTCGCGGCGGCACAAAGGAAACTTGGCTGGCCTGAGGGACCTGTTGCTGCTGCATATTAAGTTGAGGTGGAAGATGAGAATTAGTGTTGGTTGAACCTTCGTGACTAACAGATTGTGAGGTGGCGTATGGAGTTGACTGCAAAATACTGCTGCCTTGGTGTGCCTCAGGAATTTTGTTAGCGTGTGGATTAAGAGCATATGATGCATAGGCAGTTGGAGTTTGGAACCTTGGAGATTGAACTCTTGCGGAAGGTTGTTGTGGTTGCATTGGCTGAGACCAATGCTGCTGGTACTGAGGCAATGGCGGTTGCTGGATAGGTTGGTTTGCTGCCACATTGTGTTCCTGCTTTGGTGGTGGTTGAACTGAAATATCTTGCATTTTAACCCTGTGTTGTGCGTAATGTAGCTCAGGTTGCGGGTTTTGGCTCTGCTGCTCCATTAAAAATGGTTGGTGGTGGGTATGATAATATGCATTAGCTTGATTCATAACATAGTAATCCCGTGGAAGTACACTAAAAGAGACAGGTTGAGATTGCTGCAGTGGCAAATCTTGTTCAGGATGGTTTTTATAAGGAGGTGCGATGCAAATTGACGGTGGAGGTGAGGATATTTGGCATGGAAGAGTAAGAGCCAACTGCTGGTTTGGTTCATCATTGCTTTCATAGTTGGCTTTAATTTCTGAAGGAGCTGTATTAATATCCTTATAATTTTTCTGAGAGTAGCTCACGTTGATTGAGTCTTTCTGTGAGAGCTGCAGTTTAGTCAGCTCCGTTTGGGTCTCAAAAAGCTCTTGTTTGTCCCTGATGATCTGTACCGACCTGTGGACCTGATCTCAAACCAAAAACGATTTAGCCACATAATTAGTATCAATTTTTTCAAGATAGCGCTAGCAAGGAAATACAGCGAGATGGTGGAATATAAGACAGCAATGTTGCCATCCTGGGAGACGGTTTACAGATTGGCCGTGTTGTGGAGCCATTGAGGTATCCTTCAAAGCCATTTGCACGAAATAGTTTTAGAGTTTATGATCTCTAAGTTGGATGATTCTCGGCTATGAGTTGAATACATTATCTTTTATGCTAGATGTCAACATTTGGTGACGGGATGACAGTGATTGCAGGCTGGGGAGATTAAATGCATTTGTTGGTGGATGATATTGCCGAGCGTGCCATATTTTGCAAATGAAGGGAGGGGTAGGAAGGAATATAGACGTACAGTTATAGCAAAAGAGCTGTGGGGAAGCAGGCTCGGAAACCATATAGAGATATATAATAAAAAATCGGAGAAGCAGTGATCCTTAGTATATTATTTCATATATGAAAAGCTTTATGTGTTGTTGGATCTTAATTTGTCCTTGTAAATCATACCTCGAAAGTTAGCAAGGGCCGAGTGAAGGAGAGAAGCAAGAGAGAATAAATAAGTCGGGAATTTTTATATATGTCAAGGACAAATAATCCTACATCAGCTAGGTGTAGGGCCAAAAATCAGTATTTAAGTCCTGCGCTGCCCACCACCCAAAATGACTCTTTTGGGAGGTGACAAGTGATATCAGAGCAGATTACTGCATGCCAGGTGTGTGGACTCTCCATAGTCTAGTGGGACCCTCGGTGGAGCCGATCCGTGACGAGGGCGTCACTTGATTGGGTGGAGGAGAATGTCATAGACAAATAGTCTCACATCGGCTAGGTGTAGAGCCGAAAAACAGTATTTAAGTCTGTCGGTCAACTTTTTTTCGAGATTGATATAGATTATGAAAATATGGTATATGAAAATAATTTTTGAAATTTAATTTAAGTATAAAAGATATATAGTTTGAGTTTTAAAAGTAGTATGTTTTAATTTTTGAAAAATGAGACCAAATGGATCTCATTAGTCTGATAGTTTGCATAATCGTGCC